AAGACAAAGAGCTCTTCTTCCATGGACTCAAGCGAGCTTAAAACTGAATGGTAACAGAAGGTGAGCTTTGGCTTCACCACAAGATGCAGGTCCAGAAAATATCTGACCTACAAGCAGAATAGAAACACTCTTCTGAATGAACAAAAACTTTTTTTTTCTGGAAAAATGTCAAGATTTGCTCTCTGAGACCAACGGCCTCATACAATATCAAGTCATGGAAATTAAAACATAAATAAGAGCTACTACCATTTACTAAATAGCCATGGCGTGCTCCTGGTGAACCTCATCTCACTCTGCCTTCACAATCCGCCCAGAGGTCTAACGGGTGTCTTCTGTGGGACAGGCACTGGGCTAGGAGTTATAAAAGGGGGTGGGTGGTGGTGAGAGGTTCCTATTACACCACATCCTGCCTCCTTAAATATAGTAGGATTTCAGGGCTGACATGTTTTTACCCTTCTGTTTAAGGAAAGCAAAATGAAACCAAGGAGAGGCACTTATATACAAAATGAAAGAATTAAGCTCAACGGATAAATCCAAGGGCTGTAAACTGACAGAGACAGAATTACTAGAAGCTTCATCCTCTCAAAGATCACCTTCCTCAAGATTCAGATGTAAGAAAAGAATTTTAATGTGTACCATTCCTCTGTGTGTGTGTGTGCGTGCATGCTCAGACAGTAAAGGATCCGCCTGTAACGCGGAAGACCTGGGTTCAATCCCTCGGTTGGGAAGATGCTCTGGGGGAGGGCATGGCAACCCACTCCAATATTCTTGCTGGAGAATCCCAGGGACAGAGGAGCCTGGCAGGTTACAGTCCATGGGGTTGCAAAGAGTTGGACACGACTGAGTGACTAAGCACAGCACAGACCATTCCTGTGATAAGATGCAGTCTCTTAAGTAAAATAGATGTTTTCTCCACCTTTTAGTTTTAAGCTTTTTCATATGTTATGCTCGTTCTGTTTTGGGAGGAGTCAGAGCTTGGCCTACACAGAATGACAGAGCTACAAGGATTCCCTCCATACTCTTCACTTACAAGAGAAAGGGAAAGAGTCCCAGAGAGGTTCGGGTCACTTGGGGAGAATCAATGGCAAGGCCATAAGTTAGTGCCCAAATCTCCCAACCAATGAGCTTCCCAATAGCATATAGGAAATTTTGCCTATTAGTACAACAAACCCCTGGATTATTCACATTTCCTTTTCTAGAGAAGATCTTCATTTGCAAAATACCATTGAAGCCTAATTTTATGTGTGATAGGAACAGCCAATAAAAACATTTCAAACTGAATGTCTCAATTTGTTTAACCTAAGTTATCAATTCTGAAGAATTGATGCTTTTGAACGTTGGTGTTGGAGAAGGCTCTTGAGAGTCCCTTGGACTGCAAGGAGATCCAATCAGTCAATCCTGAAGGGAATCACTGGAAGGATGCTGAAGCTGAAACTTTGATACTTTGGCCACCTGATGTGAAGAACTGACTCATTTGAAAAGACACTGATGCTGGGAAAGATTGAAGGTGGGAGGAGAAAGGGACGACAGAGGATGAGATGGTTGGATGGCATCACTGACACGATGGACATAAGTTTGAGTAAACTGTAGAAGTTGGTGATGGACAGGGAAGTCTGGCGTATAGAACTCCATGGGGTCGTGAAGAGTCAGACATGACTGAGTGACTGAACTAAAACTGAAACTGAAGTTACAGATATTTTTGGTCCTCCCAACAATACTCCTTGGTTCTAACTACGACTGAACATGAAAGCATGTTTAGAAAATGTGGAGTGAAAAAGTAATCTAGCAGGTAGTCTGAAAACATCTTAAAAATATGAAATCATACTTTGCATTAACAAAGATGATTTCTGAAAGACACCACTGAGTATCTTGGCTCTGTAAAACTTCTCTTTTTTTGTTGCTATTTTATGCTTTTCCACACAAATATATTCTGTATTTCCTCTAAAGTAAACCAGTGCTTTGACAGATTTTAGATTTTTCCCCCTTAACTAAAGGCACTATTCAATTTCAATGTCCTTGGCGTGTTTTATCTGGGGATTAGACAACTGTACCAAAACACAGCTGTTCCAGTTTTTTCTCCTTTATTTTTCACATTAAAAAACTCCCACTATCAGCCAGTCCAATTAGTTACTCACTATCAAAAGCCGGCTTTGGTCTTTCATCTTCTGGAAAACTGGATCCAAGTGACAGGGTGTCATGGAAACTGTATCTCGGGTCATTTCCTGTTTCAATTGTTTAGCCACAAAAAAAGTTCAGCTCTATCCGATGGAAATTAATGAATACTTGCTGTTGCTTTAGAAGAGCATGCAACTAAATAGAAAAGTAATTATTGTTTTTGACCAAGTTTTCCCACCAACACCAAGGAATATGGGGAGATGGGTGCACCCAAAATGGGAAAAGTGCTTTGATGGATGCAATGAACCAGCCCTTTTCAGTTCAGTTTCCATAATTCAGTGGCCAATTTTAAGGCTCTCACTTGGGTTTGGGAAAAGTAACTGTAGGTTAAGTGGTTTTAATTGTAGTAAACTTGTTCTTTTTTTCACTTCCAACACATCTTCACCTCTCCTCACTTATTGCGCTTTGCCCCCAATTCTTTCACTGAATAGAGCTGGAATGCTCTTTAGGTTAAAATCCCCTCAACATAAGGGAATGTGTAATAGAAACAAAAACAGTAATATAATCTAAAAAAATTTCTTGCTGTACCTATTTTCCACCCCCCATCCCCCTCCCCCCACACACACGGGAAAAGTGGAGCTTAAGGCCTATAAGCAATACCAGGCAAGCACATGTGTTTAGGAAATGAAGTCCTGGCTGGAATTCAGTAGTAATGAGCCCCTTAGTCGTCTAATGTACATGAGTGAACACTGGATGGAAACGGAGTGCCAGACGGGACAACGGGGAGCAACCTGTGTTTTATGTTTCAGCTCTGTCTAAATAACTGTTGGCAAAAAACATGGAAGCAATACAACAAATCAATCTTAGGACTCAGGAGGATTTGCTCAAATAAGACAGCTATGAAGTGTACATTACAGGGTGAGTTTGCAGCTCCATTGTGGGAAAGGAGCCCACGTGCAGTGCTCTCTGTCCTGGGTTGTTATATATCTTCTCTACTCCAGATGAGGAAGTATTTGTGCTGCTTCTTTTTCTTAGATGTAGAAAAGAAAGATAAGTGGGGAAACATCCAAAAACAAATCAACTTTAAATATTATTAAAGTAAGCAAGGCCTCATATTACTCATATCCAACTTGCTATTTGTACAATTTCTATAGTGAAGAAAAAAAGAAAAGGATATCTCTTTGCAATGATGGCTTGAGTTCTAGACCTTTGATTTGTTGTTAAGTCACTGTACCAGCATAGAGGCATCTAAGCCAAGCTTGTCCGCAGTTTCTCTCCTAGTTGCTTTACACATGCTATCCAGTTCCTCTTTCAAAATCTACACTTATGCCCCTAAGAAACTGGCTCTATTTTATTAAAAATAAGATGAAGCTGATAATCTCTACCTAGAAATCAATACTGTTTCTTTTTCAAACTTTGAGGGAAGCATAATATTCATCCTTTCACAATTTGCAAGCAGAAAGTCCATGATTTAAGAGAACAGTAATTATAGACAATCTTTTAAAGTCTTTATATAATATTATACTTAGTATGCTTTGGTCCCTGTGTGCCCAAACACCAGAAATAGAAACAATTTCACCAAAGATAATTTTTGCCAGAAGTATAAGTAATTTCTAGAAGTCATTCAGATGTTATTTTCTTACAGAAAAACTACTCAAAATATAAAGTAAACTGCTGAAGGCATCAACACAAAAAGGCATAAGTCAGTTCAAAGAGGTAGTGAGCCTAGACTAAAATAAATCCAAGAATATTACCAACCAGATTTAAAGACTTCTGGTCATGATGAGTGAAGTTGGTTTTATCCCAAGAGAAACAATACATAAAATAAAGATGGAGCTGGTAGGAGAGGTTGTGAACCATAAGAAAGACAAGAAATACAGTCAGTGTATTGAGATAGACCATTTTTATATTCTGGTCTTGACTATTTTTCTTTTAATTTCTTTCCTTTAGAAAATGCAGTGGTAGTGGGCTCATTGCACACTGTCTTATTTATCATAATGGAGGGGGAAGAAATAGATAATCTTAATTTGTAAACAGCTCAATTACAGAAATCTAATTAACTCTCACTACATAGGAGTAAGTTAATTCTTGGAGTTTGTGTATGAACGTCTATATTGGATTTTATGAAATTTCAGTTCTGGGTTTTGTTTAGTTTGCTTGCATCCCCAATCAAGGATACTATTTAGAATGTAGATGCCTATGGTACCTTCAATAGTGATGACACAATGTTGAATCCTTCTGGCCAATGAAAGGCATGCTATTGAGAAACAGATGTATACTGCTTACTGAATAGACCAAGTTCTCTCTCACATCCACAGCTGCTCAGCAGTTAGGTGGGGTCATGTGACCAATTATGGCCAATAGGTTGTGATCAGAAGTGACTTGTGACAGCAGGTGTACACCCAGGACTTTAAAGATGATGTCATTCATACCAATGAAAGAGAAGAAACTCACGGATTTTTAAACTCAAGTCAAAATGGGGGAGCTGCTAAACTGGATACTGATGCAGGATTCTACCTCTGTTGGAACTGGCACTGTTGGAACATTTCAAATACCAGTATTACAAGTATGTCAACATGAAGAAAGGGAGTATCTTAGGGGTCAGGGGTTCTAAGGTACTGGCAGCTTACACATTTCATCAGCTGCCTTTCTCACAAGGAACTATAATGTGAATGGTTATGCAAGTACCACCAAAGAGAAGAGAAGTGGAGAGAACTACTCGGGATTCCTCACCGTGACCTTCACTGCACTGGCACCCTCCTTGAGGAACAATATCATTACCGAATCCTTCCACATCCTAAGTGAGAATTAATATCCTCCAAAAGATGACTAGCATGTGTTTAAAAACAAGTGAACTGTGTCATCACCCAGCCAAAGCCTACAAGAATGAAGATGAGTTCTCTATGCCTGTCTTGCCCCACGGAGGCAAACCTGGAAATCACAAGTTGAGATGCTAAGGTCTCAAAATAGAGGAAAACCACATGAACCCCAGAAGCCATTAACTGAACAGAAAGTAAGTATCACTGAGATGAAGGGATTTGTTCGTTTCCAAAGCCTATTTTACCTTTTCTGTGTGTCACAGAGCCCTGGGACAGTGAACTGTGAACTTCTTCTCAGAATCCTGTGTTTAAATGCATAAAAAAAAACCCATAGGATTGGAAAGAAAACTGAAGTGCTTTTTAACTGAGCTATAGCAATGCATACTTCTGTAAGTAATAATGCTATCATCAGCAAGATGACTTGTAGCAGTTGTAATTTGCCAACTACTATAATTTCAGAGTAGTGAGGATCATGTTATTTCAAGTTATCTGTGATATTTACAACAGGTTATGAAATATCTTTGATTTGTTTTGGTAACAAAGTCCCAGGTGCTGCTATACTATTAGGACTTGTTATTTACTTCGCAATGAAAAAGAAATGCTAAATTTCCCTTATAGGTTTGTGTTATAATTTTTTTCTCATCAAGTTCATGGGCTCCCTAAACTCTGTGGAGCCCAAAATAAAACGTCCAAGTGTTAGCCTCTCCTAAGTAACAGAACCACAGCGCAAGCTCTCAGGGGGCATGCTACCAGGCTCTCTCAACTTCAGCACCATGTGCGGCATTATCCCTCTGTGGCTTCTCTTCTGCCACTGAGTTTCTGTCATTTCTTTTGTGTTCACACCAGCTGTGTTCACATAACTCCAACTAACTAAGAGGGTCATTCAGGTTGTTAGAATGCAATTTTATGGATGCTTAGGTGCCTTTAAGTCAATGGTGAAGAAAATTGACAAGAATCAGCCCGTAACAAAGGACTGGGCAAGTCTAGTGATATCATCCACATCACCCAGTCCAGGGAAAACTGACCAACAGTTACACAAAAGCAGCTGGTAAAACACTCTGTCTGGAAGCTTGTGATGACTTCAAGAGACATGAAGGCACCTGGAGATGCACAATACAGGATGCTGGGGTCAACTAATTAGGATGCTGTCCAGTCCTGAGCTGGTCAGCCCAACTTCCAGGAATGTGTGTCTCAAAGGGATTGGGGAGTCAGTTCTGTTTAATAAATCTATGAAGGCTGGGTAAAATGAGACTGAAATAATTCATGATTTTTAAGGTACTCCTCCATCTATAAGTTGCAAAGAGGCCAGAATATTCAATGCACATTCACATAAACCATTATTGTTCTTTCTTAAGAAAGAACACGGTACTCGACACCTTATTCAAGAATAAATAGCACAGTAGTCAACTGAGCTATAGCTCCCAGTCCTGACAGTTGAGATAAGGGATCAGAAAATCAAGAAAAATATTTAAAATCAAGTAATTAACTATGCAGGCAAAACTGGAGAACCACGAAGATGAGGCCTGGGAATCCATCCTCTTTCACATTTCATCTACTGAGAACTGGTATAGTGTGGCTAATGTGCCACTGGATCAAAAGGCAGGAGATTGGACTTTTAATCCAGACCCCATGACCAATTACCTGAGTAAATGTGAGCAAGAAGCCACATTTCTCCAAGCTTCAGATTCCCCTTCTTTAAATGGAGGAAATTAACTTCAAAGGCACCTTCCCACACAAAAATAAAGAATTCCTGGAATCTCAGGAATACTGAAAATAATATATAGTATTATTATTATTATATAATCAGATATGTATTTAAACTGAATGTCTATTAAAACCAAGTGCTCCCATTTCAAAGGGTGAGAAAACGAAGAGAAGAAATGAGTAGTTTCTATGCATGAACCACCGTGGTGTGCCAGGCAATGTATGTGATGCTATACTTACATCAGTTGAAAGCTTGCACTAGTCAATGTCTAGATGCTAGTGAAAGACCTCTGCTTTCTCTGATAGCCTTCTCCATATTATACATAACTGCTGTTTTACTTGTGTTTTAGCTAGCTCCCTGAGCATATCTTGTTTAAGGGTCTACTTCCCCAGGGTTAGAAGAATTGGGGAAAGTTTTCTACAGAAAATCAGAATGACTGAAGGTCTGTTGAAGGGTTTGAAATCTAGTCTATGCTCACTTTTGGCCCCTTGAAATTCCTCCTGCCCCTTTTTTGATGTCCCTATACATCCTGTTGTTATTTTGATTATTTTCACCCCAAGGGCTGACCCATTTCCTAGAAGTAGAAGGCTCTTCAGATAACCAGGAGAATAAGTCAAAGTTTAATGTCGCTGACTCCAGGCTCTTTTCCAGGTGTTTTTTCTCCAGAACTATATAATTCCAAATAGCCTCAGTTCTCATAACCATCATGTTAATTTCACCAGACTCTGAAGCCTCCTTGTTTTTCCTGGCTAAGGGTTTCCTTCCCTGCCCTTCCCTATTCTCCTTGCCAACCACTTCTGGCTAGAATTATGGAAGTGAAAATTTACAACTAGAAAGAACTTTTAGACTTTTTCCCAGTCCACTAGCACAGTAAGCAGATGCAGGGACTGTGTCCTTTCCTATGTCTACCCAAAGGCTTCCCAGGGCATTATGGAGCACATAGAAGAGGCTAAAAATTGTTGGCCACATAAATGATCCACCAAAAGATGACTGCTGGCCAAAGCCCTGCAGCATGACAGCCAACAGAAAGAACAATGCTCACTCTTCATTTTCAGCATAGAAGAACTGTAAAATCAGATTATTCTCTTGCTTTATTGCAAAGCTGATAATTAATCAATAGCCAATAGGCTGATTACTCTGAGACTCAGCATTTTAGAAGAAAAAATAAGAAAGTAAGTTTTCCCAAACACACACATGATCTAGGCGTGGGGGACACAACTAAAACTAAATTTCCACCTGGCTTTGAAACATAAATCTTAAGACCCCTCAGGTTAAAAATGACAGCTGGAGTCCTTTAATCTTGAAAATGCTCTCTCCGTGGAAACCTTAAGGACAGGAAATCATTTAGGCAAAGCTTTTTTTTTTCTTCCCCTTTTGAGATAACTTCTAAGGAAAATCTAAGTTTTGAGGAAAGTGGGCTTCCATGCACAACTATACCATAGGAAGGCAGTCCATGTCAAATGATTTCATTGACCTGTAAATTGACCCTTAAATAAAGCTTTCCCAGTCAGGCTCAGCTGGAAGAGTCTGACTCACTTCATCTAATAGACTCAATCTCAGTTCCCAGTATACTATCTCCATGATGAAGATTTTTATTAAGGTGGGAACAAGGACTTATCCTATTTTTGCCCAAAGTCAGGGAATTTTGAAAGTTATAATTTTCAAGTACAATAAGCACCTAAAATGTGATGCTTCTGGCTACAAAAGCTTGGGAAATTTTGAGTTAGCACATAATCTTAGACAATTAGACCTGGGAAGGTATCTAGTAAATTACAGGAGGAAATGAAAGCACAAACAGGTAAAGCAATTAGCTCAAGGTCCCACAGGGCTTCCCTGGTGGCTGGGTGGTAAAGAATCCATGGACCAATGCAGGAGACATGGGTTCAATCCCTGGGTCGGGAAGATCCCCTGGAGAAAGAAATGGCAACTCATTCTAATGAGAAAATCCCATGGACGGGAGAGCCAGACACAACTTAGTGACTAAACAACAAGGTCCTTCCAGGTGTAGAATATGGTTTCCTACCCCCAAATTGCTAGATTACCCTTAACTCCCTACCATGCCTACTCTTTGCTATTCCAGGTTGGCTACATTTAATAATGATGATAATGATATTCAGCTAAAACAACAATCAAAATATTTTTAATAAGAATAAGGTGAGGGAATTTTGCAAATTTCTGACATCATTTATAGAATCTTGAGTCTATTAGCAGGAGTGAAATAGCTCACATATTTCAAAGGATAGGTCTAAAGTAGTTCAAACAAGTACCAAACATTAAGTCACTTTCACAACCACCCAAGTTCTAGGATGTACTGTCTGGGACATCAGCCAGGTTGGCAAACAAATCATTATAAAATGCAAAGGTATTAAGTGCCCTCTTGCCTTTGGCAGTACACTCAAAGCTATTCAAATATATTATAGTAAAACTAAAATACAGCTACCAAGGTCTCAGCCAACAAAGAGGGAGAGAAGTCTATGCATGTTTTTTTTTAAATTTATTTAGGTATTCCAACTTTTGTTCTATTTCCTTACAGAAGACAAACCTAGGAAGGAAAGGAGATGGTGGAGGAAGAAAAGGAGACCCAGATATAAGCTTTTAGAAAAAATAGGCTGAGATGAAGAAATCTGAGGACCTAAATGTTAGCGGCTCTAAAACTTATAGCAACTTAGGTTCAAAACGGGTCAATAAAAGCAAATTCTCTCAATTCTGAGTCAAATAAAACGACAATCTTGCCTCTCTTTCTGTCCAAGTGTATCTTTCCACCTCTCTTCCAGTCAACAACTGCTACCAACCTAAATGCAGGCCCAGAGATCAAGTGCATGGGACACATACTTTTGTACAGTAGCCACTTGGAAGATCAAAGAAAACTTAATAGACTTTCAAGTATACGAAGAGTCTGTGTATAATGACAACAAACAAGACCAAGAAAAAATAAGTTTAAGATGACATAGGAGAGCTTTTCCTAACACATTAGGAAGGACAACCAGAATACAGGATAGACAAATTCTATCTAGTCTCAGATAGAGTATACAAGATAGAATTTGGCATTGTGTTCTCAGGTTCTCTTTCCTATTCTCCCTTTCCTAATCATAATAACACTTTACATTTGCATTCATTTCCAGTTTTCAAATAATTTTATATCATCCTACTGTCTCCAGTAATGGGGGCAGGCATTTCCTATACGTGTCTACTTGGGACATTGGAATGAACTAAACAAATGCGTCTTCAACCACTGGGTCTGTTCAACATTTCCTATTGACTGAGATACAGTAAAGTCAGTCTCTCTGGCAACCCACTCCCATATTTTCTCATATTCTCTAGAAACAAGATTTATCCAGATAGCAAATACTAAGGCAATCATTAAATGTTGAATCAATTAACTACAATAAACCTAAGTCTCAAGCACCAGCTGAGATGGATTTGAATCTAACCTTTTTCACTGTATGACTTTCAAAACTTAGACAAGTCAATTTACTCTTTCGGAAGCAATTGCATTTGAAATAGAACTCTAATCCTTAGCATAATACCTGACACAACAAAGATGCCCTTAAAACACGCTCTGTTGTAAGTCATACTTACCAATAAAATGTCATCCTTGGAAGATATAGATCCATAAGTTGCTAGGAAAGCAAAAAATATCAGGCACAATCCTTGTGGCTTTACTGGTAGAAAACACGGAGTGAATAAAAGAAGCCTCCACTTGGTTAAATTCTAGAGTTACGCTTACAGAATAAATCTGAACAATAAAGAAAGTGTAAATCATTTGTCTGACAAAGCTTTAGGATGTTGTTGGGAACTCAAGAGTTGCTATCCTGAATACATAAATCCTCTCCGAGACAACTGCTCATGATATGTCACCGGTGTAGCCTGACTTGTCCACAAATACGAATGTAAAAAATGCCCTTCAATGAAAGAAAGATAGTTGGAAAAGATGAGAGAAGTTCACGAGTCTTCCCAGGCAAAGCCAGAACTACAGCACCAATTCACAAATGCCTACCTGGTCTAAAGGAAAAGTTATCTAAAGCATTAACTACAAGGATAAGAAGCTACCATTGTAACAGGCTTAAAGTGATCCACTTTCACTAGAGAGCAGTAGACTGGGGCCCTCATTGAAAATGCAAAATCTCCAGCTGGGGGTCAGAAGAAGAGAGAATGTTAAGATGCTCAGCTCTGAATGAAGTGCCAAAACCAAAGGTCTCTGCATTCCATGGCTCAACCTCCTTCCTCTCCCAGCCTGCTGCCCCCCCACCCCCCCATTATTCTGGAGCAGGTCCTTCCCAGTCCTGCCATTTGGAGTCAGGGAGACTTGGGAAATGCTCCAGGATCTGCTGAGAGATAGAGAAATACACAAAGGATTCTCTCTTTCACAAAGCATTCTTTCACAGAGGCAGCAGAGTCCATTAAATACGTCCTCTTAATATGCATACATTTCTGTAAGCAGATTATGAGGACCGTGAGCTCATGAAATGAGCCCCGCCCCCCTGTCGAAAATGGGTTTAAAACCTACTGCAGGGAGGAGAAAAGGTGTTTGTGGCAGAGAGAAGACAAGGCTTAAAATTAGTGTCAGGGGATCTTCCCCTCCTTGCTAATTCCCAGGGGGAAAGAAGGTGTAGACAAAACCACCTAACAAGGCTGCTTTAGCTCCAGGGTTGAGCTAGCTGGTATTCACACAATTCCTTTCCTACATCTGCCTTCTTGTGTTGCCACGCTATGGGCCATAACACATTCATAGTATTCCTTCCTATGAGTAAGTCATAAGAAAGGTATAACAATTCCCTATACAGTAATACCCCTGGAGAAGGAAATGGCAACCCACTCCAGTATTCTTGCCTGGAGAATCCCATGGACAGAGGAGCCTGGTGGGCTACAGTCCATGGGGTCACAAAGAGTCGGACACAACTCAGCGACTTCACATACAGTTAATACATACTTTTCAAATTGCTCCTCAAATCTTTGGAAATATAAATGTAGCTAGTAATGAACTTCTCATGTTAGATCTGCATAATCAATACAGGTCTATTTTTACATTCACTGAACACTATAGAGTACCTTCCAGTCTTTTCCAAGATTGCTAAATTGAGACAAGCAATTGAACAATTTGTTCTATTTCCATTTTTTTAAAGTGAATGGACTGAAATGTTAAATGTGAAAATGTGAATGTACATTTCTATTTTTTTTTCCATTTATTTTTATTAGTTGGAGGCTAATTACTTTACAACATTGAATGTACATTTCTAAATTGCAACTTTTCTACTGAGTGTTTGCACTATACTTTTGAAATCTTATTTAACAACACAAAAAGGAAAACTAAAAAACAAAATACACATGATACATTTTTTTCAGAATACATAACATTATAAGTAAGTATAAAAAAAATCTGCCTGCAATGTGGTAAACCCAGGTTCAATCCCTGGGTCGGGAATATCCCCTGCAGAAGGAAATGGCTACCCACTCCAGCATTCTTGCTTAGAGAATTTCATGGACAGAGGAGCCTGGCAGGCTACAGTCTATGGGATCGCAAAGAGTCAGACATGACTGAGTGACTAACCACTTTCAAACCATTCATGGGCTATCATTGGCTTAACGAATGATTACATGTTTCACCTCATTATTTCTTTAGAATTACTTCTTTCTTGGAGAATGAAATTGTTACACAAAAAACAAATCACCCATAGTAATAAATGGAATGTCCTTTTATTTACCTAGATATATAAAAAGATAAAACCATCTTTCCCTACACATACATCAGTATTTCTGATATGTAAATTGTTTAATAATTCACAAAGAGATTTTAGAGACCGCTTACTTGATATAACAGCTCTGTGAAGTATTATTTACTCCAATGTTATACATGAGGAAACAGAACCAGAGAGATTGAAGTGGAGCCCTGGGTCTTTACTTCCAAATTCTTTCCGTCATTCATTCCTAACTGAAGGCTGGCCTATGCAAGACATTAAGGATTCAGGGGAAACAGACAGTGTGTACCCATATGCAGACACAAGGGCAAGCACAAAGTTCAAAGAGGGCGCAGTGGGGCAGTACTCAACCCAAACTGAACTGTAGAAAAGCAGACCACTTCCTAGAGAAGGCAATGCCAAGCTGGGTCCTCAAAGAAAAACCGAGTGCTCTCACCACCCCATGCCTTCCTTGACTCACCAGCCTTGCACATGGCTAACAAAACATGTACTCCAAATGGTATTCGTTCCAGAAGACAACGGCACTGCACACCCAGGAAGTCCCCGCCCAGGGCTATCTTCTACAATCCTGTCAACTCTAGAGAAAAAGTGAGTTCTCCATAAAAAGAAGCCTAAAAAGGAGGGGATATATGTATGTCTACGGCTGATTCATGTTGAGGTTTGACAGAAAACAACAAAATCCTATAAAGCAATTATCCTTTAATAAAAAACAAATTAATTTTAAAAAAAAAACAACAAAAAAACATTGCCTGTGTGACAGAGGATTTCAGACAGAGGACGTTACCTCTTGGCATGAGCAGAAAAACTCATCCTCATGACATGATCCTGGAGGGACTTGGAACCATGATCCACCTGTTGCTTAGTCACTCGGTCATGTCTGACTTTTTGTGACCCCATGGACTACAGCCCACCAGGATCCTCTGTCCATGGGATTTTCCAGGCAAAAATACTGGAGTGGGTTGTCATTCCCTTCTCCAGGGATCTTTTGATCCATGGATCAAACCCGCATCTCCTGCTTGGCAGGCATATTCTTTACCACTGAGACTCCTGAGGAACCCTAGGATCCACTTGGTGTTGTCCAAATGCCTTGTATGGACCCATGGATAAAGGCTGGGAAAGGGGACATGGAGGCCAGCATTGCTGGTATAAAGTCTGTTCTAAGAAAATAATAGGAGAACCAAACTCCATGCTATCAGAAAAAAAGGCTGTCCTTCCCTATTTTGTTGTTTTCTACTCACTAAGTCGTGTCTGACTCTGTGACTTCATGGGCTCTGGCCCACCAGGCTCCTTTGGTCATGGGATTTCCCAGGCAAGAAAGAATACTGGAGTGGGTTGCAATTCCCCTCTCCAGGGGATCTTCCCAACCCAGGGATCAAACCTGCACTGGAGGTCTCCTGCATTACAGGTGGATTATTTACTTGCCTGGGCCACCAGGGAAGCCCATCCTTTTCTGTTTCTCAAGTTATAAAATGCTCTTACCCCTTGAGCAACAAAGATTTCCAGCAGCTTTCACTAAAGATAAAACATCCCCCCAATATAGGCTATTTATATTCCAGCTATAGAATATCTTCAACCCTCCTCTTTCTCCCAATGAAAAATGATATCCAAATGAAAAAAAGTTTTCATTTTTTATTCTGAACTTTTCACAAACAGTCCCATTCTTTTTAAACTCATGGAGAAAAATGTGAGTTCCGGAGTTTCAAACTACTTTTAATGAAGCAAGAAAACTAAGGAAACATCTTTAAAGGAAATCAAAGAGAGTATATGATTTCAACACAACAAAGCTAGTGTCTCAATGTCCGTTTTTATTAATAATGTTTTTAAAAAAGAGGGGGCAGTCTTTGAAGAAAAGTACCTCATTTCCCACTGCTTTGGGTTCTTATAGAGGACTCTGACATTCATGGACTGCACATTTAGAGTTTGGGCCATTTCAAAGCACTCCCTGACCAAGCCCTACAGCAGAGTAATAAATTTAAGGTATTATTAACATTCTAGTCATATCACACTG